GTGTGCACTCAGAGTCCACAGGTACAGACGACGGGGCAGTTTAAAACTAACTAGCGGAGAGACTGTCGCGTGGTGGAAGTGACTCTCCACTGTGTGTTGGGCGCACTCAGCGAGATTAAAAATAAAGCCCAGGCCGGGCGCAGTGGCTCACGCCTGTAATCCTAGCACTCTGGGAGGCCGAGGCGGGTGGATCGCTCAAGGTCAGGAGTTTAAGACCAGCCTGAGCAAGAGCGAGACCCCGTCTCTACTAAAAAATAGAAAGAAATGATCTGGACAACTAAAAATATATATATATATATAGAAAAAATTAGCCAGGGATGGTGGCGCATGCCTGTAGTCCCAGCTACTGGGGAGGCTGAGGCAGGAGGATTGCTTAAGCCCAGGAGTTTGAGGTTGCTGTGAGCTAGGCTGACACCACGGCACTCACTCTAGCAGGGCAACAAAGCGAGACTCTGTCTCAAAAAAAAAAAATATATAAAGCCCAAGGACCGCTGGGTGGCGAAAGCCCGGGAGCAAGAGTTTGCTGGTGGGTGAGGGTTAAGAACAGTCTCTGTCTCCCTTAATTCAGTGTTCTTGGGTCAAGGACTGGGATGGTCCGAAGCAGCGGCTGATGGGCGTGCCAGAGCGTTGCTAGAGAAGCACACTTTTGCAGTGCTCAACACCCTGAGTCTGCAGCACCGTGATCGGAGGTCCTGCCTTAATGAGACGAGCGCGCAAATGGGAGCTGCTAAGGCACGCTGAGCAGATTGCTCTTTGGGCAATTACGCTTGCCCCCCACTATCTTGTTTTCTGTCATTTATTTGCCTAACAATCTTGGTGGAGACGCAGGGCAGATGTTACTCCCAGCGCCCAGTTGGTAGCACAGATTCTGCATGGAGCAGGACCTCTGCACCCGTTTCTCTGCACCGCTCCTCTGTCTGCATCTAGTAGATTAGTTCCTTCTGAGGAACGTTTTTCCACCGGCAAAGCCTCCTTCTTTGAACCACACTTGAAAAGAAACTTTCAAAGGTGGCACCAGCCTCCCCAAACACCTTTTCCGAAGTGCCTTCCAAAGGAAGCCGTCTTCCCACCTCCCAGCCCTCTCAGGTTTGCTTCTGAAGCCCTGGCTCAAAGGCGGTCGGCAGACCAGGATGGAGGGAGGCACGGAGGTTGGCCTCGACAGCCGCAGCCGCCTTGTTGATAACAGATTGCACCACGTTGCCAAAAGCAGTTTTCCAGTGTATGATCCAGTTCCAATTTGTGATTTGTGACCTGTCCCAATTGTGACTTCAGTCACACGTCTTGATTTTTTTTTTTTTCCTTTTTTGGAATTGATGTTTAGAGCTTGTTTGAGTTGGATCAAATGCTGTTTCAACAGCTGTTCTAATTGGAAATGCTGTCAATTATTAACCCTAATGGTGGTTTTTCTTTCAAAAATATTTCCCTAAGCTCTCTCAAAACGTCAAAATTTGGCTTCTTGGTAGGAAGTCATTTAGTGAAGTTGCTTCATTGCTGAGCGTGAGTTTCCCCATCTGAAGAAGGGAGGTGGCGTAAGTGCCTTCCTCGTAGGGGTACCGTGAACTCACACATGCAAAGTGCTTGCTCACAACGCTGGGTCAGCGGGTGTCAGCCACCCTGACTGTTGTTGTTACCAGTGGTTGTGTGCTAACTTTCTATTTCCAGGAACTTCCCCTCCCCCAATCGCCACCCTGAAAAACATAAACATTAAAAAAAATTGTTTAGTGAACATTTTCCTGTTCCTGCTTTGACTCGCCAGAGTGCACCGAGCCCGTTCTCAGGGTCGGGCAGCCTAGGTGGAGATGGGTCCGGCTCAATCCGCACTTCTGCTGTGCGGGGAGACCGAGAGGGGACTAGCAGGTGACGGCATAATTAGAGCTGCAAGGGATGGGATCTGCGTGCTTTCTCCACACTCCTTTCCTCCAGAACAAAACCAAGACCCAAGGACAAGGAAGCCCTGGTTTGTTATAAAAGTCTCCAGATGTAAAAGCAGCCCCTCCCTGCTGCCTGCCCCAGCCCTGTGCGGTCCTGTCTCGTGACTAGCCAAAGTCCTTCCTGTATGCAGAGAGGCTTCTCTTCATCAAGTTTGGGTCCCAGGAAAGGCAATCTGAATGCCCGTACCCTAGGCTTCCGGAAGGTTCTGTATCTGTGTGGAGTTGCTGTAACAGCCCTTGGTCGATGTTTGTGGCGTTGGGAGGTGGTGTTGGGAGGCAGGAAGAACGACTCTCAGTGGAGTGAAAGGGTGAGGCTGAGCGGGAGCTTGCTCTCCTGTGGTCACCTGGTGGCCGGGACACAGAGCCTCGAGTTGGGCACAGTGACATAAATCCTGGCAGATCGATCCCCTTTCTGCATAACCAGGGTACTGGGCTCTGGACCAGGCCCCGCGGGAAGATCCCGCCTGTGGGAAGCCCATGGCCACGCGTTTGCTGAAGGGTGTGGGAAGGGGAAGATAGTCTACTTTTCATTTTTTTCTTTAACTACCAAGATTCTGACCCTTGACTTATTTGCTAGCAGAAGCAGGCAGTGGCCGGAACCCTTTTATAACCACCCTGCCCCCGCAGAGACTGTGAGAGTTGCAGTTGCTGAGAAGGCTATGGGACGGAGTGTTCAGAGCCTGCGCCCTGCCTTGCTGGCTGTGGGGTGGGGCAGTGGCCAGAGACCCAGCTAGGTGGCTTGTGGTTGGTCTGGCCTGACTGTTGGTGAAGGGCTTGGGCCACTGCCCAGTCGTATGTCAACATTCTGTCCCCCACGGCTCTCCCACAGATGCTGCCCACCCCACACCGAGACAGGCTCAGATCCACCGCCTGGGGTCACTCTCAAATATGAAGTCTCAAAAAATAAATATCGAGACACCAGTGATATTAATCTTTCGGCCACCATTTATTGAGCGCCTACTATGTGCCAGACACTGCCATACCAGTCATTTGAAGTAACAGGCCTTGGACCTGTGAGCTTCCTAATCAATGAGCCTGCTTTATTTTGTTCATTTTGTTTGTTTTTTTGTTTTCAATGTATCTTTCTATTCTCATTTGGCAGATAAGCATGTGACAGGTGAGTGAACTTGTTGTTCTCTGTAGGTTTGGACTGAGAGGCAGGCTAGCTGATAGTTTCCTGAAAGCCGCCATGTATAACCCTGATTTTCATACTTCAGTCCCCTTCCCTACTATCCCTACTATTTGGGGGAGGAAAAAGTAAGCAGAGTGAGAAAGGACCCTGTTTTAGAGAACTCTTCCTATTTACCTAAATTAATAATTTATGCAATACTTATTTAGTAATCCTCCCACGTTCCTTACGGTATGAATGGTGGGCTTCTAGTGGGTAGAGGCTAGGGCTACTGTTAAAAACCCTACAGTGCACAGAACAACGCCACGCAGCAAAGAACTATCTGGCCCAAAATGTCGATAGCGTGGTAGAGAAACCCTGATGTATGGTGTCCTTGCTAGAGTGTACCTCAAATGTGCCAATGTCAGATCCCAGTGGGTCTGAGCTGGGGGCGATACTTCCTCCCCTGGGAAGTTTGGAAGTAGGGACCATTATAGGCACAGTTGGTCTGGGATATGAGGGACAGTCCTTGACAACAAGAATTGTTCCACCCCAAATGCCAACGGTGGCGCCTGCTGGGAAACATCGGCTCTGTCCTGAAGGATCCCGGGTGTTCCAGGCAGAAAGCTGACAGCAGCAATCTCCTGTCCCCCTGCCAGGATCCCCCGCTGTAGCGGACAGACTCTCTAGGTTAGAGAGCCCTGGCACCGTGGCCAGCAGCCCAGGACACAGGCCCTCAAAAGCCCATCAGGTTCTTTAGACATGGCCTGTCTCTTCACAAACTAGAGGTGTCCTCTCATGGTGGCTGGGGTGGAGGGGTGGAGGGGTGGAGGGTGTTGGCCCCAGGAATTCTCCTGAGGCCCAGGGTCTGTTTGTAAGCCTTCAGACAGCATTGTTTTTATTTTAAGTGCACGAGCATTTCTCATCCAGAATCGTTTGACATGCAGATGATCACAGATTTTTAAAGGCTGTTGTCATGGTTTTGTCTCTGAAAGATTGCTATGTGCTGACGAGAGCTTTGAAGCCAGCTTTGGGACCTCAGTCCTGGCGGGCTCAGGATTCAGAATGAGATAAGAAAAGCAATTCTGAGAGTTGTCTGTCAATGGTTCTAGGCCTTTCTGCCTGGACTTAGTTAACCATTTAGCACCATTCTTGCTCTGAGATCTGGGATTCACAGGACACTGGTGGAAACAGTTGATGTTTTCCTAAATGTGGTCTTCTCTGGGTGTTCGGGGTGAGGCTGAGAACTGATCTGTCTTTCTAGGATCAACCTTTATGAGCGGTTAGGGATCTAATGAGTTACCTCTCTGAGCAGCTTCTTAGACAAGGCAAAGCTATGCGCTAACTGAAGCGTTCGTTAGTGGTGGGATTGAATCAGGCTGGTGCCACGTGTGTGGGGGAGGGATTGGTCTTGGTGGGGGTGGGAGAGGCAGCAGTAAAGAGTGGGGCACACTCCCTGGCTGGCCCCAGGGAGCCCTTTACCACATGCACCCGAGGGGCTTCCTTTATTACACCCCTCTCTGCCAGTTTGTCTGAGAGCCTGTGTCCTGTTGCCATCGGACACCTCTGGGCAGAGCAGTTCCTCCCGCACCAAACTGCATTTCACTCTTGTCATGGGTTTTGCTGGGATGCAGGGGGTGGTTTTTGTTTTGTTTGGCTTTGTTTTTAATTAAGGATTCCATCCAGAGGATGCAAACTATATTCTGAGCCAAACAGACCACTTCTGAAAGGAAATTGGAGCTCCCCAATGTGTAGGCAGCCTGGGTGCAGGGGCAGTTGGGAGAGATCTTCGCGCTGTAGACTGAGCAAGAGCCTCCTGGCAGGAGGTGAACTGAGGGTGGACAGGACGGAGCCCGTGGTGAGGGGCTGTGGTTCTGGGGAGTTTGCATTTCCACTTGCTGCGACATTTCTGTGACTCGATTTATTTGCCTGAGCCTCATGCAGTCTCTTTACCTTTGCAGACAGAGATTGCGAAGAGACTGAACACAATTTTAGCACAGATCATGCCTTTCCTGTCACAAGAGGTAAGACCTTGGGTTACTATTTCCTCCTTTTCTTTCCACATCAGCCCAGTGGCAGCCAGGGTCTCACTGGGGCCCCAGCCCCAGCCCCTGGCCATTCATACTGACCAAGGTGACAACTGGGAGATTTACAGAGCCTTCTCCAGCCAGCAGGAGGCCACAGCAGGGGACCATTTGTTCCTTCTGGTAGAAGTGGTTCTCTGTCCCATCCAAACTACATTCCTAGCCTCTGCTTTCCTGCACCCCAGCCCCACACCTGGAAAGTCTGAGAACAAGGAAGGCTAGCCAGTCCATGCCCAGGGCCAAGTTTTGTGAGGGGAGCCAATAATCAAAGGGGACTTTGGCCTCCAGGCACAGAGTGCCCTTGCTGGGGATGTGACCGGGGTCACATCACCTTCTGAACACACCTTCCAAGGGACCCCACTTGAGGCAGGGGTTGGGCTAGTGGGTGGTTTGAGGGAAGTGTCTCTAAGGAGGCTCCTTGGTGCAGGGCAGACAGGTGAGCTGGTCCCATTCCAGTGGGGCAGGCCCTGCCCTCCACTCCCTCTCAGTGGGTGGGACCATGTTAGCCCCGTCGTCGTGGACTCCAGGGTCTCTGGGCAGAGTAGTGACCAATAGATGAATAGATGGTCGAATCAATTCAAGAATCAGATATGGTGATGCCCCAGAACTTGCAGCCCAGTAGGGGAGACGGCTGTATGTGTGGCTGGTGCTACCTCAAGGCCCGTGGGAATCAATGCAACAAATTAAAAGAAAAAAAAAATTTATTTTTTAAGAGCAGTTTTAGGTTCACAGCAAAATTGAGTGGGAGGTACAGAGATTTCCCATAGCCTGCCCGGCTTACCAACATCCCACACGAGTGGGACATGTGTTACGATTGATGAATCCACATTGACACATCACAGTCACTCAAAATCTATAGTTTGAGGTTCATTTTGCCACTTTTTTCTGTATCTGTCTATCTAGAAATATACTTTGTTTTCTCTCTGTTAGACAGATACGGGTTAGGTATATATAGACACACATGCTTTTTTTCCAAACCCTTTGCATGTAAATTGTGGATATTCTGACAGTTTACCACTAAGTGCTATAAGGGCATCTCCTAAAAAAGGGAACACCCTCCTTCATGATTACAATATTGTTGCCATGTTTAGAAAATAATCATTCTGTAATGTCATCTGATACCCAGCGCATATTCAAATGACCTGAAAAAAATTGTTTGTATGTGTGGTTGATTAATAACCATCTTTTGGCGTGCATCTCTGTTTTAGAACTTCAAAAAATTAAAAGGAAGTTTGGATGACAAAAGTAATACGTGCTCATTGAAAAAAGTTTAAAGGAGAAAGTGAAATAGCCTATCACCACCCCCCCTGCTTCCCCCTCCAGCTAGGTCCTGCGCCTGCTCAGTGGGGTTCCTCTGTCCTTGCTGGGGGACTCTGTCCCTAGGGGCCCTGCCTGTGCCATGCAGCCCCCGCCTCCTCTCTGCCGGGGAGGATGGCTGCCTCTAATGCACGCCCTGTTCCCTCTAGCACCAGCAGCAGGTGGCACAGGCGGTGGAACGTGCCAAGCAGGTCACCATGACGGAGCTGAACGCCATCATCGGGGTACGTGGACTCCCCAGTCTGCCTCTCACCGTGTGTATAGCCCTTTTATTCCTCTCATTTACCATAACCAGAGATTGACCCTGACCTTAGCTGGCCTCAAAGAATGGCAGCCCCAGGGCTCCGGCTTCTGCAGGCATCCCATGGGCTTGGACCCATTTGGGGCTCTCTCCCCATTGGCTCCCCAAATGCCTCCCCGTCCCCGAACTAACGGGGTGCAGATACACCTGAAATCCACCTCTATCCTCATCAGCCTTGTCCTCCCCTGGCTTTTGGTGTCCCTGCCATTGAGGAGGGCGGGGGCCTGGGATCACCTTCAAGGCCAGGCCAACTGATCGGTAGCTGGCTGCCGCCTCGTGCCTCCCCTGGGGCCTGTGTGCCTCCTCCCTGGCAGAGGTCTGCCCTTCTTTGGCCACCTGGGATCAGAACTGTCTCTGCTGTACTGTCCGTGTGCAACGTGCTGTGGAATCTGGGTTTGGGTCTTGCTGTCCCCTATGCTGAGCTGCCTGGCTGAGTGTTCACTGTGTGCCCTTGTGACTTCCAGCTGGGACAACCAGAGGGGTCTTCCTGACCTTCTAGAAGTCCCATCTCACAGGAAAAAATCTTCATGAGAGCTCCGTGAGGCCCACTGCTGGTCCGTCCCCTCGGTGGAAAGGGGGGCTCAGACCTCTCCCCTTCGGTGCTCCAACCTGGCTTGCATCTCTAATGCATTGCTTGGATTCGAACGGCATCTTTCTCTTGCTTGCTGCTTTGGTGCGAGGCTAAGGGTATTTAAGATAGTCACCAGAGGAAAAACACTTCTTTCAGTGTGGCTCGGGGCAGGGCTCTTCCCTTTGGGGTGTACCTGTCGTTCTTTCACCCTAAAGCAAAGGGGTTTGGTGAGATCACTGCTTCCCAGCCCACAGATGTGGGCTTGCTATGCTGCAGGGAGCTTCTTGACAGTACAGATTCCAGGTTACCTGCCCCAGAGGTCTTTTCCGTAGGTCCAGGGGTGGGCCTGGGAATCCGTGTTCCTGAAGTTTTCCAGGTCTTTTGAAGCATCAGGCTTGGGAGGCAGTGGACTGGTTGTCCGAGGTCCCTTCAACCCCAGTGTTCTGGGACCTTGATTGGTCTTCATTCCCTCCTTTTTTTTTTTTTTTTTTTTTAGGGTTTTGTCTCACTCTGTTGCCCGGAGTAGAGTGCCGTGGCATCAGCCTAGCTCACAGCAACCTCAGACTCCTGGGCTCAAGCAATCCTACTGCCTCAGCCTCCCAACTAGGTCAGACTACAGACGTGCGCCACCGTGCCCGGCTAATTTTTTCTATATAGATTTTTAGTTGTCCAAATAATTTCTTTCTATTTTTATTAGAGATGGGGTCTCGCTCTTGCTCAGGCTGGTCTTGAACTCTTGACCTTGAGCCATCCACCCGCCTCGGCCTCCCAGAGTGCTAGGATTACAGGCGTGAGCCACCGCACCCGGCCCTTCATTCCCCTTTTTGTTCTTAGGTCACTATCTCAAGGTGGGACCAACGGCCTCCGAGTTTTCTTGTGCTTGGTGGGATAAATGATGACTCTTGACTTTTTTGTCTGGGCAGAAACCTGGAGGCCTGTGGTTAGTCGTGGTTCTCCCCTGAGTGACCTTGGGCAAGCCCCTTCTCTTCCTTGCACCTCAGGGTCCTTGTCTGTAACAGGAGAGTGAGCCGGCTCATCTGTCTGGGGCCTCCCAGCTCCTGCCAGGACACCAGGAGGGTGGAGTCAGTGCCATCGGGGGATGCTTGGGGTGCCGACCCCTCCAGCACGTTGTCAGGACCCGTAATGGTTACAGAGCATGTGGTGCAGGCGGCCCCGTGGATCTGTCCTTCTGTTCTGAGCCCACATGTGAAAGCTGCTTAGCGCTGCTAGGGGACCGGGTGGAAGCAGCAGCCTCGTTTGAATTCTGGCAATGTTGGGGAAGGGCAGACCCTCACCTGCTGTGTGGCGGGGCGGAGAAGGGTGTGGAAACTGGAACACGAGGATGTGTTCGGTGCTGGAAGGCAGCACCCCCAGAGGGGAAAACCGTAATCTCTTGAAGTTTGCAGTATCTTCAGTGATCACCTAGCCCAGGGTTCCTCAGCCTTGAGGGGGCCAGTCTTTGTTGTCCTGTGCATTGCAGGGTGTTCAGCAGCATCCCTGACTTGTGGTCACTATGTGTCAATTGCACCCCCTACACAAACTTTTGACACCCCAAAATGTCTCTAGACAAGGCCAGATGTCTGGGTGGGGGCGGCAAAGTGGCCCCTGGTTGAGAACCACTCATCTAGCCCAATGCCCTTGTTTTACAGAGAGGGGAAGTGATTTAGGATCTCTAGCAGCAAGCCAGGCCAGAGGCCCAGCCCTGACTCCCAGCCCAGGGCTCTTCCTGCCTGGTTGCAGCCCTAGCATGTGGCCCGCGTCCTCTGCCCAGTGACCAGCTCCCAGCTCGGCGGTTCTACTGCCCATGGTCGAGGAGATGCAGGGCAGGCTGTGCTCCATGAGTTCCAGGCTCTGGAATTCCTCGTCCAGCTCCTCCTTCCCGTCCCCTTCCCAGGCTTCCCCTTAAGGTTTCCAGGCCGAGCCCCCCACCCCTGCAGTGGCCTCAGTGGGGTCCCTGCTCCCCATCTGCTTCCCTCTTTGGAATTAAAATCCTCTTATGAAAATAGTTTTTTTTTAAGTTTTAAGAAAGGACTAAAATTGGGGAAGAAGCTTCACCGCTTGGATTAGCTCCACTTCCTTTAAGTAGTATTTAGGAAGCTACAAGTCAGGTCAAGGCAGCTTGAGGCAGACATTGGAATTCAATTAAAGCCAACGAGTGGGGCCTGTGACCCCCATTTTCAAGGTAATTGCTTCTCCGCTCTGAGTGAATGCAGCCGTCGCCCTGTCATTAAGCAGGCAGCCGTCTAATCGCCGCGCCTGACAGAGCCTCACAAGGCAGGAATTACGGACAGCTGAGGCATGCTCGCGCCGGGGAGCCGTGCCTGACTGCACTCCGGCGAGGAGGCCGCTAATCTAGTCAGGACGTTCTTTATCTCCTCCTCGAGGAGCAGGGAGCAGAGAGCCAGCCGGGGCTGAGCTGCCTCTGGAAGCGGGGTGGGGAGGGACGCAGGGGCTGACGTCAAAGGGGCAGGCGTCCTGGCCCGGCAGGACAGGCTGGGAGAGGGAAGGGCTGAGGAGGCTCTGGGAAGCAACCGGTGGGTTTGCCACTTGGAAAGAGAAGCAGCCTGGCACCCTGGTCTGGGCGTCAGGTGGGCTTTGGGCAAGTCACTTTGTTCCTCCAGGTCTCAGTTTCCCTGTTCGTGAAGAGGTGGAGGAGGACTAGGCGGGGTTCATATGGTACATCTGCCCCAGTCAGTTGTTTAAGGGCTTCTTTGGGCATGAGATGAAGGGTTCTGAGGCTGTGAGTCAGCTCAACTCAAAGAGCAATCACTTAGGTACATCTGGCATGGGCATGCGGGTAGCCAGTGGCAAATTTATCACGAGGATTAGAATATTTTGGGGATCTTCCTGGTGAGGAAGGCCGGGATCCAAGTTCAGGGTGGTGGACAGGGGACAGCGTGACAGATGGAGGAAGCCAGGCTCACTGGCCAACCCCACTCGCTCCCCTTCCAGTCCCCAGGGGACTCAGATGCCCACCCAGGGACACAGGCTGGAAGATTGTCTCTCTTCAGCTGGGGCATGGCAAGACTCGGTTACTGTAGACCCGCTTCTGTTCCCTGGCCTTCCTTCTAGGATCAGATTATTGGGGGACCCCTGGAAGGACAAGATTCCTGAGCACGGGGAGGGAAGTTTGACCCTTGGACAGCAACTTGCATGAGGCAATGTCTGTCTTTCCCAGGCAGATACATTAGTGAGCTGATGTGTCAGCCATTACCAGCAGCCCGGGGAGAACCCTCTTTTTACATTGTTGTATCGTGGCCCAGGCTCTTTGGACTAGGAAGTGGAGGGCTCTCGCCTGCTCGCCCACTGACACTTTGGTCTTCATTCCCTTGGGAGTTATCAGTGGAAGAGATGATATAAAGCATTGACTTGATTTTTTTCTTTTTTTTAAGTGGGAGGGAGGGAAGGAGGAAAGAGGAGGGAGGTTGTAGCTCATCACAAAGTACATGGGGTATTTTGAAGCCATACGTAAAGTCCTTGTGTTCCCTCTGGGATGTGTACGAGCTGGATTCAGCCGATTGAATTTTACGTGAAGGAAAAGGGCGGTGAAGAGAGTGTGCCTTAGAATCCATCTGTCTCTTTCCGCGCCAGGCACCACAATGCTGGGTTTGAGTCCTGGCTCTGGCTGCTGCCGGCTTAGTGGAGTCGCTTGTCTCCTGGGCCTGGTCCCCATCTCTGGAGTGGGCTTAGCAAGGGTTGTGGTGAGCACTAAAAGCTGTCACTGAGCCCAAAAGCTCACTTGGTGTGGGCTGTGGTGCCCACCTCGACTGGGAACGGGAAGGAACGGTCAGAGTCTGGGCAGCGCTCGCTTTTCTTGAAGCGCAGAAGCGTGCGTTCTGTGCAGCTCGCACCCGTCTTTGCTTCCTTTGGTGGGAGCCCTCGGCATGTGAGAGCCCTGGCTCAGAAAGTGCTTAGACAGTTTCACTAAGTTTCACCCAAATCGTGAACCTGAAAAGTGAAGCATCAAAGCAACTGGTGAAGGCATGAAGCGTGATGTGTGTAATCCAATTACACGTACTCCGCAAGCAGGACCTTCCCCTTCAGCCTCTCCCATCAGTGACCACACCTTCCGAGCCCAGGCCACCGGCCCTTGGCGCACGCGTGGAGGAGGGAGGACTCACGTATGCCCCCGGAGACACGTTCCTTGACCTGCTTGTGTTCTGGCACGCAGTGTTAAAGGAGGGAAAAGGAGCACGTGTGCATGGGTGGGCTTGGTTCCAGACGCCTGGCCCCTCTTTTGGGGAATTGTTGACTTCCTTCCATATCATGGATGGAGAAGTTTCCAGTATTGAAAGGAATGGTAGAAACTGGAGACAGGGGGTCTCAGACTGGGAAAGTGATTCCATTTCTCTACCATGGGGAAAGCTCCCTAGTTGAGAACAGTGTCACCCTCCCACTCAGATGTCACCGTGTTTCAGCACTTTGTGCTCGAAGCCAGAGGATTGCTGCAGGGGATAGGAATACAGCCTGAGGATGGCCGTGCCCTGCCTGCCCAGCGGAGGGCTGGGCTGTAACAGCAGTGGTGAGTCAGGTGAGTCATTCTCAGCTGGTCCCCCTGCCCCACCAGGGAGGAAACTTCGCTTCACTCTCTTGCAACCAGGACTGTTGTTAGCAGGCACTCCACCCAGCAAGCCCTGGCATCTGCTCTCCCCCAAGGAAGAAGCCTGGGAGGTTGGTTCTGGTATCCCTGCTTTCCAGAGTCTGCTGGGCCCATCCTGATGGTGCCTTCAAAGCACCCCTAAGAAGACCTCGGAGGAATTTCTGGCTGTGCAGAACAGGTTGTTCTTATACCTGAAGACAAAGCTCTTCAGTTTTGCATGGAAGATTCCTTTCCTCTGTTGCAAAGAGGATGCTATTACATGACACGCTAAGGCAGAAAACTACCCACTCATTCTGGGAAGCTCAGCAGCTTTGAAAGCTACTGTCTCCAAACAGCTGTTGCTGCCTTTGTTCCAAGGTCCTTGACACTGGCTCACTGGCTCGTGTTTTGGGGAAGCAGAACACCCCACTACCCAATTGATGCTTCCTGTCCCAAACTAACTATTGTAGCTGCTTCTGATTGGGCCTTAGAGAGGAGGTGCAGATCTGGGAGGCAGTCGCTTGCCTTTGAACAGAGCACTTTGCCAACTTATTTCCTAACCTCGCTGTGTATACCTTTTACAGCATTTTCACTTATTCACCCAGAAACGTGTATTGAGCAAACATGCCAGGCACTGTCAGAGGGGCCGGGATGGGTAAGATAAAGTCCCCGTCTTCCTGGAACTCACAGGTTGGCAAAGCAGCGCATAAATATGAAAGCAGTGGTTATATCTGTGATCCACACTTAGCATTTGCCAATGTTGATCTCGCACCTACTTTGTTTTTACATGTAGTAATGCATGTGATCCGTGCACAGGCTGAAGAGATGGGCTCCATTTCGATCCTCATTTTGCAGATGAGGAAACTGAGACCCAGAGGTTAGCTGACTTGTCCAAGGACAAGAGCTGATAAAGGATAGAGCTGGAAGTCCGCCTGCGGCTGTCGGGCTCCCGTGTGTGAACTGTTAGAGTTCTTGGAAGGGGGAGGAATCCAGAGGAGGTGGCGTTTGAAGCAGGCAAAGCTGAGCCTGGAAGGTTGGGCAGGAGAGGGAACCGCACCTGGCAAGGTAAGAGGCAGCTGTTTGGATGTGTTCAGCTCTGTCTTGCCATAGGCACGGATCTCCAGTAAGCTTTCTCTCTAGAAAAGGACTGTTTGTGGGCCGGGCGCGGTGGCTCACGCCTGTAATCCTAGCTCTCTGGGAGGCCGAGGCGGGCAGATTGTTTGAGCTCAGGAGTTCGAGACCAGCCTGAGCAAGAGCGAGACCCCGTCTCTACTAAAAATAGAAAGAAATTAATTGGACAACTAAAAATATATAGAAAAAATTGGCCAGGCATGGTGGCGCATGCCTGTAGTCCCAGCTAACTGGGAGGCTGAGGCAGGAGGATCGCTTGAGCCCAGGAGTGTGAGGTTGCTGTGAGCTAGGATGACGCCACGGCACTCACTCTAGCCTGGGCAACACAGTGAGACTCTGTCTCAAAAAAAAAAAAAAAAAAGAAAGAAAAGGACTGTTTGTGGACGGAGCCAGCTGTGTCCGCAGACAGCAAAGCTACTTCTTCGAAGCCCTCCTCCCCCATCTCTTTCTTGTCTCTTCCTCACGGGATTTTATTGGCCCTGCACGATAAAAAGTGGATTAAATACCGCAGTCCTTGCTTTCTGGGATTTTGCTGACCAGTTCTCACCAGCAGAATTGAAGGGCCTACCAGCAACAGGTCTAAAACATAGAGGCCTCCCGACTGGAGAGTCATTTTAAACCGAGGGTCCAGGTAAAGTTGTGTGGTCCAACCATACCAGCGAATAATAGGTAGTCATTAAAGAGGACAAGTGGATTTCTTCAGAACACTCTCAAATTAAAGTCAAGTTGTATAACAGTATGGTTCACAAGAGCCCATTTGTGTAGAAATCCATTTGAAATTTATCGATTTCTATGCAAGAAAACCTAGACAGATTAGCAGTGGACTCTTCTGAGGGTGGGATTGAAGTCAATTTTTCATTGAAGATTAAAAAACACTTTTTAATCTGTACTCCTTTTTAGTATTTTCTTACAATGAGCACGTATTAGTTTTGTAATAAGATGTAAAACATTACATTTTCTTTAAAAAGGAAGGTGGGTGAGCTCCCATCCTTAGAGGAGCCTGCCTTTCTTCTGACTGGGGAGGGGTTGGGTCTCTGCATTGGACTCTTGTGATGCCAGCGCCAGGGGCCCCCTTAGCATTGTATCTGCGGTGGTGTCTGGGGGCAGGTCTGGGGTCACACCGCCTTGGGACCAGAGTCCAAAAACTGCCTAGCAACAGCCACCGCAGAAGCACTCTGACGGTCTCGAGTGCGGGCTGCGGTGCCAGCCTTTCACCCAGCACTGGGAAAGGAGCCCTCTGGGCCAGGAGCACAGTGGCTACCATGGCTGCCTTTAACTTTGGAACAGGGCCACGTTGGCAGCGTGTGGCTTAGTTGGGGGAAAGCCCTTTCCCCATGACCTCAAACGTACTGCCTCCTCCACCCAGCGCCGTGGGCCTTCACTGTGCTCTGGTGTCTGTCAGCAGTTACCAGAAAGCATTTCAGGTTGACAGGTGAGCTCCCGCAGTCAGCGTGAGATCTCGAAGCTTGTCAGATCTTTGCTCTGCGTCACCCCCCACAAACTCCTCTCGCTTGGGGGATCTTCTTTGGAACATTGTTTGATAAGGCTGGTTGACAGATTTGAGTCCAAACCCCACTTACTAGTGGTGGGACTTGGCCAGTTACTGGCTGTGCACTCCGGCCCCCTAAGCGGCAGTTTCCCATCTGTAAAATGGACACAGCCCCTCCCTTGGCACGGGTGGTTGGAGGATTAACAATAGTATCTGGAAAGTGCCCCGACATCCAGTAGGTGTTGGTTCCCTTCTCTGAATAGCTGACAAGAAATGTGTGCACAGGTGGATACCAGCATGCTCAAGGCCCAACCACTCGCAAGAAGTATTTTGATCCCTAAGAAATACCTGGCACTGTGTAGTTGGCCCACAGTGCCCGTGGTCTTGGCACAGTCTTAGGAATGATAAGGTGCACTCTGCCACGGCCGCTGGGAGGGCGAGAAGGCTGCAAGCTGGCCACCTGGGTGTGGGGAAGAAGGGGGGAAAGGAGAAGCCCCTGAGGCTAGCGTTGGGTAGGGATGCCTGGGGCCTCTGGAGCCTCTGGAGGTCGGACAGCAGAGTCCTTGATTGGGCTGGGGAGGAGACAGGAGGGTTGGTACTGTTGCTGTTGATGATAGCACTGAGTGCATGCGTGTCCAGTTTTAAGCACAGCTCGGGAGTCCACTGTAAACTCTCGGTACATGTTAGCTACTGTCCCGGTGCTTCACGAGCAGTAGCTGTGTGCCCTGAGCTGCCACATACATCATCTTACGGTAATCCTCGGAGGTCGGTGCTACTTTCCCCCTTTTACAGATAAGCAAATTTGAGGCTCAGGGAGTTGAGGTAATCTGCCCCCGGCCACACAGCTAGGAAGTGCCAGAGCTGGGCTTTGAGTCCTGGTCTGTCTGGTCCCGAAGCTTCCACTCTTCCTGCTACCTTGTTCTCCGCTCTGATGTCCGGTGACGTTAGCTCTCTGGCCCCAGCTCATCTTACTCTTGGGACTTTTCTGTGCCGGCCTGCCCTACCCTGGCTCTGTGAGGCAGGCTTGGAGTCCCTCAGAATTAGGGAGTCCGCAGGGTACAGCCTCAGGGTGGGAGACGCTGGCGGCTGACGTTGAAGGCATGTATGCATGAGCAGACGCGGCGACTGCTGCAAGCTTAACAATGGATTCCCCTCCACTGGAAGGGAACCCGATGACTCTGTGGTTTTTAAATGCATGCATTATTTATCTCGGGCTTGGAAACAAACATTGAGAAATTCTGTCTTGAAACTGGGGTGTGGGGGAGGGTGGGTGGGGCGCTGGAAAACATAAATCCTGTATCTAAACTGCGGTCCATTAACAGACTTCCTTTGGCAAGATGAGCATGCGGACTGAGCTGGGGGCAAAGGCTTTGGGGCTGTCTCCCCGCTGCTGCCCGCCGAGCCGAATGAATGAAGGCGCGAGGGGGCTGGGAAGAGCCACTCCCTCCGGGTGGCTGCGCCTCCCCTGCCCTCGCGCTCAGCATGCTCACCGCCAACTTCATTGCAGCAGCAGCAGCTCCAGGCGCAGCACCTCTCCCACGCCACGCACGGCCCCCCCGTCCAGTTGCCACCCCACCCATCGGGCCTCCAGCCTCCAGGGATCCCCCCGGTGACGGGCAGCAGCTCCGGGCTGCTAGCGCTGGGCGCCCTGGGCAGCCAGGCCCACCTGGCAGTGAAGGACGAGAAGAACCACCATGAACTCGACCACAGAGGTGCGGCCCGAGCTGGGGCTGGGGCAGAGGGTGGGGCTGGGCTGAGCAGGCCGTGGGTGCCTGCAGGCCCCACAGTGAGTGGACACAGCGAATGCTGTGTTGTCACCCTAGGATAGGGAGTTAGCAAAAGATTTGGAGCCATCTGTTGAATCCCTGGCACCTGGCAACCAGCACCATCCCCATGCACCTTTTCCCAGCCCCGGTTTGCACCTGGTATTCTCTGCCCTGAAGACACCTGTCCCTTCATCCAGAGCACCCTGCCATCTTCCTGCAGCACCCCCGCCCATCCTGTAAGGGCTAGTCCCAGTCCGTTCCGTTGGACCAGGGGTCTTTTTCAAATTCCCGTAAGAGTTTAAGAGTTGGGGTGCAAGACTGAGCCCTTGTTACTATCCTCATATGTCCCATCCCTGGAAAACGTCTTGTCCTTACCAGAAGCATTGGTCCTCTGAGGACAGAGGCCAAGTTCCCGGGTTTGCCTTAGCATATGTGTCTCACCAATGCTGGAGCCTTGGAAAAGGTACACAGTCGGTGCTCAAGTAATGATTTGTTAGTTGAGTGCCTGTAGGTGGCGGCAGCAAGCGCACTCCAGCAGGGAGATGATTGGAAAGACTTGGAGTCAGAATTTTTTCCCTGACCAGTGGACCCAGGAAGTTGCACTGAGTAGGGGTTGGGAGGGGTTGGTGGGATCAGAAAAGGAAGAGCCTGGCTCCCTGCAGACCCTCTTGGAAAGTTGCCACCTGGTGTGCTGTACCCTTGGATATTTATTGGAGCACATGGCCAATGCCTTCCAAGCCCCTAAGCACCAGGGACCTGAAGTGTCACCATCCGTCCCTGGCCTGGACGACAGGGCAGTAGCAGGTCCTGAGAACCAGAGGCTAAGATTTTGTCCGTGCAGTAGGACGGAGGCTTCAGCTTCCAGGGGCTTATTGGCAAAGAAACAGAGAATGGTATTAATTTGAAAAGCATTTTCAAATTCCTTTCTTTTTCTTTCTTTTTTTTTTTTTAAACAATAATGTTCTCAACTCCCAGACCCTACGGGTATTTTGCATTGCATGGTCCTTTCCAAGCGTGTGGCCTTAAGAACCCTGGCTGCCAGAGAGGAAAGTCGGCACCCCTCTGGCAGGTCAGGGAGAACTAGGTCAGAGGCCTCCGCAGCCCACTCTGGGGACTACTAGGGTGGGGGAAGGGTTGGAGTTGGGGTGGCTCATTTCCAAACTGAGAAAGGCCACCTAATGGCCCTGCCTTGGCTGACCCACAGCGACAGAGAGCCAGGCCTTGTGCCCATTTTTAAACCAGTGAACTAGCAAGTCAGAAAAGCCAGCTGCACTTAGACTGACCTTTTCCTTTCTTTTTTGTCTTTTTCTCTTGTGGGGCCTGACCTTCCTCCTGCCCTGGCCTTCCTTCCCCAAAGAGAGAGAATCCAGTGCGGTAAGTGCTGGCACTCTGGAACCCGCGGCAGGGTTTGGGGTGCTGGGAGGAGGAGGGGACTCCTGGCCTGAAGGCTCAGCCCCAGAATTTGAGGCCTGAGACCAGCCAGTCGTGTCCAGAGCTATCATCTCAGTTCTCTGCTCTGGTCTGGGTTGAAGCTGAGGGTTTTGTTGTTTGTTTACTCATGCCGAGAGCCGGGAGACCTGGCTTCAGTGCTGATGTGTTGGTGACGATGTCTTAATCCAGAGCTGGTGGGTGGGGGGCTGGGGGGAGTTAGTTACTGTCATAAAATAGGAGCTGCTGTCACCTGTTGAGGGTGACCTTCAGTTGTGGAAGCCCTTCATCTCTCCAGGCTTTAGGTCCATCGTTTGTCAAATGAAGAGCTTGGGCTAAATGAGCTCTAACTCCCTTTCATATGAGAGATGATTAACTGGAGAGGTCAGCTGACCAGCCCTGGGGCTTCCCTGCCAAAGGGCTTTGTGGAGTCACTGGGCTGGCCCAGGGCTTAGGACCCTGGGGTCCCACATCCTGGGCCAAGGGTCTTACCCACCCCCTAGGTTGGTGCCTGCTGTATGATGCTGTGTCTTTATTTCCTTCAAACACCTGAGGTTTCTCCCAGCTCTGGGCTTTCGCTCAGTTTAAGAAAGTGCTAGCAGGCAAGCATTAAGGCCAGGCCGCCTGCGTGTCTGCCAGCTCTGAGATTTGTTGTAAATCTTTCTGATCACACTGAGGCTCCGAGGTTCTGTTTCAAGTGAATAAGCCTTCTGAATAAGCGCAGTGGAGTCTGGATAAAAAAAAATCCTCTAGCGATTAGCAAAGCTATTTTATTCCTCATCGCCATCCTTGTATCTGGGGCCATCTAATCTGTTAGGATGGCTTTGGTTATTACCTCGTGTTAAGTAGGACTTGGAAGGTCAGGCAGTTAACTAACCATCTAGACAGCAGCTTCCTCGGGCAGGTCCCTCCAATCCCCGCCGCCTCCCCTTCCCGGCCCTCCCCCACCGAGGCTGTCTTTAGCAATAGTGATGCTGGCACGTCCTGCCACCCGCCTGCACACTCAGAAAGCCAGGTCCACATCTGGGCCGAGGAGTGGCCAGGTACCCAAGAGGAATAATTGCAGCCAAAAATCCATTTTGCGTGTGTTAGTGTCGATCCTCTAACGGTGGCGTGTTTGGAGGGGCAGTTTGCCTAGGTAGCAGGGGGGCTGGATTGGACATCTTAAAGCTTAGCTCTGGTCCCCGCTTTGTGAGACTCTGGGTAGCTCTCTTGGCCTCTCTGAGCCTCAGGTTTTTTTTTTTATCTGTACCGTGGGAACAATTCCTGCCTGGCCGACCTCAGCTTTGTTAGGAAGACCCTCTTATAACAGGACTCGGGCTCCAGATTACCTGGTTAACAGGGACCCACTGCAGTGAAATGGGTCCCTCACACACCATCCTCATCCTCCTTCCTATTTGTTTCTGGCTTTGTGTCCCGTGTGTGAAAGCTTTCTGCTAAGAGAGCCCCCAGGGAACCCCAAGAGCTGAGCTCTTCGCCCCACCATGCTCGCTGACGTCCATGTGTGGCAGACTGGCGCAGCAGGGGGCACATGGGCCACTGGAGAATCCGGGAGGAAGGAATCGAGAGGCCACGCTGAGGCAGCAGCCGGAGGGACGGTGGCTGGGAGGCTCAGGCCCCGGGTGCTAGGGCTGTGCGCATGTGGCGGTGGCGTGTGGGGTGTAGACTGAAGTCATCAGGCTTTGGAAACCAGGTTGTCAACAGATGAGGCCTAGGCAGGGGGGACAGGGCTGTCGGAGTGGGAGGGGGACGGGGGACGGGGACGGGCTGGAAGCTGTCCCGGAGGGGTTAGTCTGGAGTCCAATTAGAGGTAGCTTCATTCATATTTCCTTGCCCAGCCGAAGCAATAAAAAATACTTAGTTTTTTGGCCGCCTGCCAGTCAGAGGCGGGCTGGATCGATGCCGCTAAATGCCTGACATGACTCTCCGGTAGCGGCGAGGGTTTTCAGCCTGACTGCATGAGAAGAAAGAGCTCGCTGTTCTCCCGAGCCGCGCACCACCGGGTCGCCAGGAGAAACACGAGCAGCCGCGCGCCCCCTCCCTCCCTCCCGCCTGCCCGCCAGGGCAGCCCGCGCGAGGGGCTGGGAGCATTTCTGCGTAGCACAGGGTGGCCGCCACCGTCGGAGGAAATGAAATGAAATGACGGTGATTTTTCTGCCGGCGATTGCAGCAGCTAATTGAATTGCGGCTGTGCGCGCATCGCCGCCGCTGCTGCGCGGCTGTGGGGAAGGTTGAGCTGCAGTCCCATTATAACCTCCATTTTTTCTTCAAGGCTTGATAACTCTGCCATTTTAATTTGCTTCAGGCAGAAACTTGGCAGGGAAGCGCTGCCCAGAAACCGGCTTAGGAAAGGAAATTAAGTTCTGCGGCCGGTTCCCGCGCTGTTTCCCCCAAACGCCACCCTTCCCTGTTCCCTCCGAGTGACCCTTGCCCCCGAGCTGGCCTTGGCCTCGGCCTCCAGTGACATGGGGAGTGAAGTGGGGGCTCAGCCCGCTTGCCTTTTGAGGCTCTGCTCTTGTGAACAGACACCACCCCTCTGTCTGCACCTGACCTCCGTGGGGGGCCTCTGTGCTACAGGGACTAGGGCTCGGTGGACCTTTTCTTCCACGCAGCCAGACTGTGAGCTCTGGAGGGCAGGGACTGCGTCTTGTTCGTCCTGCCACCCCCGCCTGCAGCACCAGGCTTGACCCAGGGTGGCTGCTCAGAAAATGGTGGGTGAGTGAGTGAAGGTAGAGTCTGGGCGGATAGGAAGGAGGAACCCTCCGCAGCATCACAGAGGGACATGGGTCCTCATGTTGTGCTCTTGGGCACAAAGGTTTGCTGGCAGGTGCCCTTGCCAGTGGCTCCTCCGTCCCTGCTCCCCGGCCTGGCGCTAATGGCCGCACGGTGCAGGTGGCTCCTGCTCCCAGGCCCACCTGCGAGCGCCTCTCGTCTTCCCCTTCCCAGGCCACCAAGCCTGAAGGAGTCTTGTCCTCACTTGCTGTGTAGTTGAGAGAGAAATTCAGCTCTTCCTGGCCTGAAAAACTTGAGTTTCCTTCATGCTGCCTTCTGCTGGGGGAACTGGGCCGTGTCCCCCAGCCTCTCGGGGCCCTCCTTTCTGACTATAATACAGCGGGTTGATCTCTCTGTCCTTGCACCTTTTCCTGTCCCTCAGAGGGAAAGGCTTTAAGATGTTGCATTTTGTTGCTTTAAAACCCTGGTATTTCTCCAAAGTCCCTGAGGGCCTCGCGGAGGAGGAGGAATAGGAGGAAGAGGAGTGGTGGGGGGAGCTTCTTGGTTGCTCATGTGCACCGGGAAGTTCCTGAGTCTCCCCATTCCTGTTGCTGGGCAGATGCAGCGTTGCTCGTGCCCCCGTCTGTCGGGGCAGGTCCACCTCACAAGACTCAGTGCAAATTCCACTTACCCCTCCCTTGAGCAAAAAAGTGCAGCGGGCGTGAGGTGGGTGGTGGAGGAGACGCAGGTGACCCTCACGGAGTGCAGTCTCACAGGCCAGCAGCAGGCAGACGACTCCCTGCAAGGTTCATTATTAAACAGCAGCGGCATTGCTACAGAAGAGGGGTGCGGATGCTCCCCGCGCGTCTCCCCGGCGACCGGTCTGGGGTGTGGAAGAGCTTTCCCCGGCGGGGCTCTGCTTGAGCCAAGGTCTGCAAGACACAGAGGAATTGAGCTGCTCTTCCTTCCTCTGACCTCCCGGGTCACCTGAGCTTGGCTGTGCTGTGGATGTGTGAGATGTGGCACCTTCTTGTTTCCAGAATAACTCCGTGTCGCCCTCGGAAAGCCTCCGGGCCAGCGAGAAGCACCGGGGCTCCGCGGACTACAGCATGGAAGCCAAGAAGCGGAAAGCGGAGGAGAAGGACAGCCTGAGCCGATATGTACGTCTGAGGCACAGCGGGTGCCATTGGGGTTTGTGCTGGGTAGGACGGGGTGTCTGCGGGGGCCTAAGCCATGGCCTGACCCCTCTTGGGGTTGGGGAGCGAGTCAGAGGCTGCCCACTGGGGAGGGACGCAGGCGGCTTCTGGGGGAGGTTCAGACACATTCTGTGAGCATGTGAGCCACTGTAGGGAGGGAGTGGATGGGGCTGGGGAGTCGTCCTGGCCTCTGTGGGGTCTGGGAAGAGAGCTGTGGGTTTCTCCCGCAGACGGGCCAACCATGTTGCCGGCGCGGTGCTCCCACAATCCCAGTCTGCTCCGGGGGGGCTGCCCCTGGTGCTCCCACGCTCTGACCCTGCAGTCCTCAGTCTGGCCGAGGCGTGCACCTACTCGGCAACTCTGCCGGGCTTTTAATGGCCTTATCATGTGATGCCCCTGGCACGTGACACCTCCAGGGAAGCATGGCCACTGTGTCTGCCCTGTGACAGGCCGCGCAGGGCTGAGAGCCGGGGCAGAGGGAAGGGGAAACATGGTGCTGGGACTCGGGGTCTTGCACTCAGCCCTCTCAGCCGCGTGGCTGCTCTGTGTCTGGGGACACGTGGCACACTCGAAGTTCCGCTGCATGTCTGTGAGACTCACCTGTCCCACACAGTGGGGGAATGGAGAGGTGAGACTGGCGCACTGACTCGCACTGACTCGTGGTTGATGGTGAATGTAAAACCAGCTGGGAAGATGGTTCTGGCTTCCGAGAGACAAGCTGTCACGCAGCCCGTAGGGGGCGGGGGCAGGTGTCAGTGAGGCTGCCCGGTGGGCATGGGCGTGGAGCAGCCCCAGCTGGGAGACAGCCCAGAGGAGTTGAGCTCATTGGAGGGGAGGGGCGGAGCAGAAGGAGCGTGGACTTTGGGGTTTGGCCCAGGTTCGGGTCCAGGCTGGTGGAAGGAGGAGTGGGAAGGGCGTGGTCTCTTACTGGCCAGTTGGCTTCTCTCTCTCGGTTGCAGGACAGTGACGGGGACAAGAGTGACGATCTGGTGGTGGATGTTTCCAACGAGGTACGGGCAGGCCCAGGTTGCAGGGAAGCTCTCGGTTTGGGATGGGTCCTCCCAGGGTGGGACTGTTCTGGCACTATTTGCAGCCCGAGCAGGGTGACGAGGGCTTGGGGTATTGAGGTCAGGAGGGGCAGGGCGGGGCAGGGGGGCCTCGCTGCCTGGTGGCTGGGCCTGTGTGGGCACTGAGGGCTTCGTGCAGTGAGTCCCAGACCCCCTAAGATCCCAGGTAAAGGCCAGCTTCTGTTCCTTGTGGCCCTCCATGTCAGCTCTCCCCCCGCCCCATCTGGAGGCGAGAGTTGAGCCCCTCAGGAGGGTGGGAGGAGCTGGAGAGAATATGCACTAGGCCAAGCCCAGCAGCACCGACTGGAGTCCTGAACTCGAATTTGATCTTGGGTGGGTCACTGCTCCACCCTCCCTAGGCCTCAGTCTCCCCATCTGTGGGATAAAGGGTCAGACTGGATGGTTAAGAGCTGGTTCCCCCCCTTTAGACTCCCCAGTCTTTCAGCCACGCTCTTTTCCCTGCGCCCCCTCCCTTCCCATGCCCAGAGCAGGGAAGACGCCAGCCTGGCTGTAGCTTTCAGCGCATCTCTGTGTCACTTGTGCTTTTAGGACCCAGCAACGCCCCGGGTCAGCCCTGCACACTCCCCTCCTGAGAATGGGCTGGACAAGGCCCGTGGCCTGAAAAAGGATGCCCCTACCAGCCCCGCCTCAGTGGCCTCCTCCAGCAGCACACCTTCCTCCAAGACCAAAGACCTTGGTCACGTACGTGGGCCTGCCCCGGTGCCATCCACGGAGGCTGAAGGAGGGGAGGGGGGAGGGAGGTGTGCAGGGGCCAGAGCTGGGGTGGTGCTGATTGGAGGGCAGAGGGTGGAGCAGGAAGAGCCTGCCAGAGCCTGACTTTTCCACCTGCCGGCTGGGCCCTGTACGAGTTAGTTAACGTTTCTATAAAATGGTCGTGATCACAGTCCCTGCCAAGCGAGGCTGGGCAAGGATTGAGATGCTGCTTCGCAGAAGGTTCACACCCAGTGCTGGCACTGGGCTTCGTGTGGGGTCAGTACCGGGTGTTGTGCCCAGCTCTTGGGAGAAAGGTATCCTCATGGCTTCCCTTGGTCTCTGTGTCTTCCCTCTTTAGAACGACAAATCCTCCACCCCTGGGCTCAAGTCCAACACACCTACTCCGAGAAACGATGCCCCAACTCCAGGCACCAGCACGACCCCAGGGCTCCGGTCCATGCCGGGCAAACCTCCGGGCATGGACCCGATAGGTATAATGGGTAGGCACCAGGGGCTGGGGTGCTCTGATGTGGGGAGGGGGTCTGCCCAGGCCAGGGATGGAGCCGCCACAGGGGGCCGGAGCACAGGGAGTGTGTCCAAGGTGGGGCTCCCCTAGGGCCTGCCTTCGGGGGCTTCATGGTCAGATTTGAGGAGAAGATGGGTGCCTGGGGGGCTTCAGCACTGACGTCAGGACATCCTGGGGCCACTGCTGGGCCAGGTATGTGGAAGGAGCACCAGACAGGTCAGGCAGGACGCCCGAGATCTGTTCCCGCCTGTCATTAGTTCTGCGATGCTCTGCACCAAGCCCCTGCTCTGGGCCTCCGCGCCCTGCTCTGTACGAAGAGGCGGGTACGTCTCAGCCCTAAGCTGCCTGGGCTCTGAAGGCAGGGATGCCTCCCCCTGAGAGCACTGCCCGAGCACGCCTCTTGCTTTCCAGTGCGGGAAGCGTTGCTGCGGGTAGAGGCGGCTGTGGCCTTGTCCTAGCGGGAGGGGTAGGGCCTGTCCCCGAGGCTCACCCGTTGCTGCTGCCCGCCTCCCTGCAGCCTCCGCCCTGCGCACGCCCATCTCCATCACCAGCTCCTACGCGGCGCCCTTCGCCATGATGGGCCACCACGAGATGAACGGCTCCCTCACCAGCCCCAGCGCCTACGCAGGCCTGCACAACATCCCGCCCCAGATGAGCGCCGCCGCTGCCGCCGCCGCCGCCGCCTACGGCCGATCGCCAATGGTGAGCTTTGGAGCTGTACGTAGACCTTTTGGCTCCTTTCTTGGGGACTGGGCACAGCGTGGGGAGCTGGCGGGGGTTGGAGTGGTGCTCCCTGCACACCAGAGGGGCCCTCCAGGTCTCGTGGCCTCGAGACCAGGCAGCTGCCCGTGCAGGGGGAACGATTATCAGAAGCATTTGAGGCCTAGCTAGGAGGGCGCACGTTTTGGGGTCAGTAGACCTGGGTTCCACCTCAGTGGCTTCTTAGTCGTCTGGGAAGAGGGGCTGATACCTGCCTTTCCAGTTCTGGGAGAATGAGAATCCCAAAACGAGTCAAGTAACGCATGTCCACAGAGCAGGCGTTCGGTAAACGGGACTGGTTGTAACAAGAATTGTCTGTTATTATGAGTGAATACTTAGTTTGGGGGTTGGCAGGAAGAGGCCCCTTTTCAGGAGACAGTTTCTCTCTTTACCTCCTGTACCTGGGTGGCCTTCTCTCCGTGGGGCAGGCCTGCTGAGGCACCACAGGAGAGGGGCGAGGGGCAGGGGCCAGCTCTGCCTTGTGGAGCAGGAAGGGTGCTGGTTCAGAGCTGGGGGTCTGGGCTGTTGCCCCTCTCTGCCACTGCCCTGGGCAAGGGCACTTGCTCCTCTGGGGCCTGTGTGTCCCCTAAACAATGGGCTCTCTCTTCCCCACTTGTCTCCTGGCTTGCACAGAGGCTGCGGCCGTGCCCAGCGGGTGGGGTGGAGGAGGCGGGGTGGCAGTGGCACTGACTAAGGGCTGCCTTGTCTGCCTTACAGGTTGGTTTTGACCCTCATCCCCCAATGCGGGCCACGGGCCTTCCCTCAAGCCTGGCCTCCATTCCTGGAGGAAAACCGTAAGCTTCGGCTATACTGTTGCATGCTTTGTGGGGCAGGCAGGGGAGAGCACCCCTCATCCTCTGACCCTGGGTGTTCCCTGGTGCATGTCCCCTGGGAAAGGTATCTGTCCCTCTAAAGACACTTAGGCCAGCTTGCACCCCAGGAAACTGCCGCCATGCCTCACTCCTGACCTGCCTTGGAGGCACCCTCTGAAAGACGCACCGAGGGCTGCTGAGTACATGGTCACTGGGCCCCGGGAGAGGAGGAACGCTCCTAACTGCATCACACACAGCTACCCAGGGCCTCGGGGACACCCAGGGGTTCTAGCTGCTGGCAAGACCCCCAGGCTGCTGGGCGCTGGCCATTCCCTACCTGCAGCCCTTCCCGCCCTCCACTCCTTGGCTTGTTGGGAAATTAGGAGGTTGAGCATACCTGTGATGCTGGGATGCTGCCTGACACAGTGCCCGCGTGGTCAGCGAAAATCTTGATGTTAATCGAGGGAGCGCCCAGAGTAGCGTGAACAGCAGACGGACCATGCGGGCTCCCCACCGGCTCTGCTGCGTGCTCTGTGTTTTGCTTTCTGAGGGGCACGCAGATTCCCCTCACTAATACCACTGGCTTCTAGAGCAAGAGGTGGCATTTCCGCTGGGTCCTTTCCAGGTCTGGTGTGCTGGGGACGGGGGGCCAGGTGCAGGTGGTGGAGAGGGCATGCCAGGCGCCCGTGGGGCTTGTGACCTGATTTGGCGCGAGAACGTATAAACGGGAGTAAAAATCAAGTTTGAAATGTTAAGTAGTTGCCAGCCTGGGGGAGCCGTCCCAGTACATGGGATTACTGGGTTTAAAAGGTTTAGGAGACGGGGGGCCTAGACACCAAGTGGCCAGTCTGGGGCAGTATGGGTGACCTGGGCAGGACCTGTGGGAACTCGGAGGGGCTGTGGGGGATGGCAGAAGTGACGGTTCTCACCTTTTCAGAGCGTACTCTTTCCACGTGAGCGCTGATGGGCAGATGCAGCCCGTGCCCTTCCCCCACGATGCTCTGGCAGGCCCCGGCATCCCGAGGCACGCCCGGCAAATCAACACGCTCAGCCACGGGGAGGTGGTGTGTGCCGTGACCATCAGCAACCCCACGCGGCACGTCTACACAGGTGGCAAGGGCTGCGTAAAGATCTGGGACATCAGCCAGCCAGGCAGCAAGAGCCCCATCTCCCAGCTGGACTGCCTGGTGAGACTCCCAGGCTGTGGCCTCTCCTGCAGTTGGTGTGGGAGAGCGGGGCAGCCTGGGCCAGAGGGCAGAGGCCCAGGGGCCTGGCCCAGCTCAGCCCGGTATTGGCTGAGCAACTTTGGGCAAGCTGGCTAACCTCTCTGAGCCCCAGTTGTGCTATATGTAAGTGGGGATGACACCGACCCTCAGGGGTCTGTGCAGAAATGCATGAATGGTTGAAGGGCTGTGAATTTGAGGAGTGGAGACAGCCTGGCAGCTGCCGGCTGTGAGGGGAGGCTGGCGGGGGGGGCGTGGTGAGGCTGCTCAGTTGTCCCCAGGAGGGGAAGTGGGCAGCGCTCAACCCTGCCCCTTCTCCCTCCAGAACAGGGACAACTACATCCGCTCCTGCAAGCTGCTCCCCGACGGGCGCACGCTCATTGTGGGCGGCGAGGCCAGCACGCTCACCATCTGGGACCTGGCCTCGCCCACGCCCCGCATCAAGGCTGAGCTGACGTCCTCAGCGCCCGCCTGTTACGCCCTGGCCATCAGTCCCGATGCCAAAGTCTGCTTCTCCTGCTGCAGTGATGGGAACATTGCCGTCTGGGACCTGCACAACCAGACCCTGGTCAGGTGAGGCCGGCAGGAGGGAACGTCAGTGCCTCATCTCGGGGAAGTTTGCACCCCTCCTGCCTGGCCTTGTTTGCCGTGACTTTGGCCCTGTCTGAGGTACCAGAGGGCTGCCCCAGGTGAAGAGATGGCTCAGCCTGCCTGGGCAAGGGCAGAGGAGTGAGGGGTCTTGCACCCAGGGGCCTAGAGAGGGCTCCGGGGAGAAGGTAGAGCTGGAGCAGATCTGGAGGTGGAGTTCAAGGTAGCAGAGAGGATGGGGTTCAAGGCCTGGAGACAGGAGCAGGGAGCGGGGTCACTTGGTTAAATGTGGGGCCTTGGGCAAAGCTGCTGAGTTTGAACCCCGTCTCCACCCTGACCTTGTGCAGGTCGTCTAACCCCTCTGTCTCAGTTTCTCCCTGTGTCAAACGGGGACAGTGTGGCATCTTCTGAACGACTCCACAGTGTGAAGGCAGGCGGGAGTGGCTGGCCGAGCCGGCTGTCTGTCACTCCTGGCATCAGTGGGCACGCGCGCGGCCTCAGCCCGGTGGCCCACGTGGGGTGGGAAGGATAAAGATGGTGAAGTGGGGGCGCGTTGAGGCAGGCTGAGGAGCCGTGTCCTAAAGGCAGTGTGGCTGCTTTCTCGTTGTCAGTTGTCTCACGAGAAAGTTCTCCAGGGCCTTCCTCCAGTTCCACCTCCTCCTTGCTGGAGGCCCAGCCTGGAGGGACTCGGGAGCCCGGTGTGAGGTCCCGTTTTTCCCCCGTTTCCCTGGGGACCTACCCCCGGGCAAGACTGTGGGGTCGAGTGGGAGAGGGGCCCAGGCCTAGCTGTGCTGCAAACTTACCTTGGGACGTAGCACACGCCCTCTGGGCCTCAGTTTCGTCTTCCGTTCAGTCTCCCTGGGACGGCTGCCAGCCTGGCAGTCAGTGGTTCCGTGGGGCTCACCCTCCTCCCCTTGGCCCTTCATAGGCAGTTCCAGGGCCACACAGACGGGGCCAGCTGCATAGACATCTCCCACGATGGCACCAAACTGTGGACCGGGGGCCTGGACAACACGGTTCGCTCCTGGGACCTGCGGGAGGGCCGGCAGCTGCAGCAGCATGACTTCACCTCCCAGGTGTGCAGCCGAGATGCTACTCACTTCCCACAGAGCAGCATGTTCCCTTCCCCTCTGGGCCCCAGTGGCCAGGTCGGGGGACAAAGGGGCACTTCACAGGGTGCTCATTGCCAAGGGACTTTCTATGAGTGATCTGGGAGGGCTTCCTGGAGGAAGCCGCAGTGAAATAGAGTGGACAAGGCCTTGGAGTTGGACATGCTTTCCCAACTGCAGGGATTTCAGGCCTTTCTCCACCACTGTCGAGCACTTCGTCCTTGGTGTCCTCATTCATGGGATGGAAATAATAGTAACTCGCTCCTAGGGTCAGATGTGAGCGCCTGAAATGATCTGTCTAAAAGCCTTAGCCATAAACCTGGCTCATAGGAAGCATTCAGTAAATGCCAGACATTGCTATGTGTTGTTACTTTCCTTCCTTTAATATTTTAATCTTGAATATTTAATATTTTAGTGTTTCATGTACTGATTTTTTTCTTAAGGAAAAGACAGAAGTCACAGAAACAAAAAGGGTGACTTTGAAAGTCAAGTGTCCATGCCACGCCTGGGTTTGAGTCCGGGCTCTACGGCTCACTTTCTAGGGCCAGCAGCCCCTCTGGGCCTGAGCTTCCTCCCCTGCAAGATGGCGTGGAAATCCCATCCAGGGGCAGGTGGTGGGGTCCTGTACTGTGAATGGCAGGGGTGGGGCGGGGAGGGAGTCTGAGCCACCCCTTTGGGAGCTGCCTCTACTCTTGAGGCCGGATGCTGAGTGTCTGCCCCCACCCTGCAGATCTTCTCCCTGGGCTACTGCCCCACCGGCGAGTGGCTGGCCGTGGGCATGGAGAGCAGCAACGTGGAGGTGCTGCACCACACCAAGCCCGACAAGTACCAGCTGCACCTGCACGAGAGCTGCGTGCTGTCCCTCAAGTTTGCCTACTGCGGTGAGCCTGGGGGCCCGGGCCTGACAGGGAGGTCGGGAGCCAGGGCAGCCGGGCCCATGCCCCTTGAACACCCTTTAGGGATCTTGCCCCATCCTTGTGCCTTGGATGCAGATGTTGTCATGGGGTACTGAGCTCTCAGGACGCTGGGCCAGAGCCAGTCCTTGCTGTCCTGGGGCACAGAGCAGGACATCAGCAGTTGAAGCAGTGCCTCCCGGTGGTGACAGGCACAGGCTTTGACATATGTTCGCTTAGGGCTAGAGTGTCTGCTTCTCCACTGACCAGCTGTGTGGCCTTGGGCATATCTCACCCTCTCTGAACCTTAGTGGATTTTCCCCTGTGGTCAAGAGTAGCACGGCGCCTGCCACGTGACTTTGGGGGAGCATTAGCTGTTGATGGATGTGGAGCCTGGCAGAGTGCCTGCTCAGAGCAGAGGCGCCTGCTGACTGCTGTCTGCAGCCGGGTCTCTGGACCCCCAGGGCTTTGCTATTCCCAACTCTTCCTTCCACCTTCCAGAAGTAGAATTTTGGAGGGTCAGTCAACTGTTGTGGCTTTGCAAGAATCTTTTTGGGGAGTATAATCATTGCAATTAACTTTAAATCTACCTCTTTCCGTGCCAGCCCCTCCCCGCCCTCCCCTTAGGTTGCAGAGGAGGGCGTTCTCTGGTGGGTGGCCATGAGTCTCGCAAAGCGCCTCTCAAAGGGGGAGTCGCGCTAAGCACTACTTTGCGGCTCTCACTGTGTTTCTATGGCAGCCGGCCGTGTCTGGGGCAGGTCTTGCTTCAGAGGGCAGCAGGCTGCAACCTGACAGTGCCTTTGCCTCCCTCCCGCAGGCAAGTGGTTCGTGAGCACTGGGAAAGACAACCTCCTCAACGCCTGGAGGACGCCTTACGGAGCCAGCATATTCCAGGTACCACCCACCGTCGGAGTCGGGACTTGGCCACAGTGATGGGGGCGAGGGTAGCAGGAGGAAGAACAGACCTGCCCTGGCCCTGTCCCCACCCCTACCTGATGGGGATCAGGATGTGTTCCCCAGAGGACAGGACTTGGGGACCTCAGCAGGACGCACACTCTGCCGCTAATGGCTTCTGACCCCAGAGGACGAGAGCTTTTAAGCAGGGGCTCTGTGGGACTGAGAGAGTGAGGAGGAATAAAAACGTGCTCTTTGCTCCGGCGTGGATGCCGCGCCCTCGCGGGAGGTGCACCGGGCAGCCTTTTCCGAGCGTGTCGCCCGTTCACGGGAGTTAGTGTTTCCACCTGGAGGGAGGCGGGGCAGGAGGAGGAGGGTCCAGAAAAGGAGAGGAGGGAAGGAAGAGGCATTTTATTATTTTTCAGGATCTGGGGCCCAACATCCCGCACTCTTTCACGCACACGCACAAGCACACACGGCGCAGACGCTCCCTCCCACACTCACAGTCGCACACACGCTGCTACTCCCATGTGCACTCGCGCTCCCTTGCGCTCCCTCAGCCAGCAGCCACTTGCGGGACCCGGGCTGCGGCGTCCGGTGGCCGGCGTGTCACACAGCACTGTCGGGGGCTCTCTAGTTACACTGACTCCTTCAAAAACCAGGTTCCCATCCTCCTCTTCACCCAGCAGGCCGAGCACGTGGCCTGCTCCCAGCTCAGAAATGCTGCTTCCTGTCTGTAAGCTCGGAAGAGAAAGCTCGTGCTCAGTGTCCTGTTTTGATCATTATGACTTAGTTTAAAGATCGCCGGGAGCCCAGGAATGAGCTTTTCCTTAGGGAGCAGGTGGAAGGGGGATCTCTCCCTGGGTGGAGGTTCCCCGCCGTGCCGTGCTCCAGCTCGGAGCGCAGAGGGGAGAGGAGGGCGATTGACTTCCGAGAGCACCGAGATGGTGTCGAGCTGAGAAAATGAATTCCTGTCTTTTTTCTCCCCGCACCCGCCCCACCTTGCTGCTGCTTCTCCCGGTCTCCCTCCTCCAGTCTAAAGAATCCTCGTCCGTCTTGAGTTGTGACATTTCGGCAGATGACAAATATATTGTAACAGGCTCTGGTGACAAGAAGGCCACAGTTTATGAGGTCATCTACTAAACAAGGACTCCAGCAGGATTGTCAAACTCTGGGAGAAACCGACTCTGCTCTGACAGGGAGACCCCAGGCGAGGGCCCCCCGAGGACGGCGGAGGAGGGGCCGCGAGCAGCCGAGCGTCCGGGCTGCGCTCCGGGCTGAGGGGGTCGTGCCCCGGCCTGGTCTGGACTCTGGGCACAGACTGACGTGTGTCTGCAGACTGGGATGGATCTTCCTCCCCCCCTCCCCCTCCACAATGCTGGCACATGCTACAAATAGATTTATTTGGAGGCTTATGGCTCCGGCTCCCCACAGACCCCCATGTCATGAATCTGTCTTTTCTCCCCTCTCTTTTGACCCGTCCCCTTCGCCTCGGGTCAGGGACGCTGGAGTGGACCACATCGTTGTACCGGGGGAGGGGGGATCTCTTTTTCCCGATTGTGCAGTGCACAAGATTTGTGAAAAATGTAAATAAGACTCCTATTGTGGACCGATGAGTAGGGAAGGAGGCCCCTTCCCACCAGAAACTCTCGCCATGTATTTCGCCT